GTTGCACGCATTCCTAAATCCAAATTTGAGATCGAAAATGTGAAATGGCGTTAGGACGAGTCCTTAAGGATTTAGGATTCCCCAGGCAAAATCGTCCTTAATTTTCCAGTAGCCCCTGACCTACTGAAAAATTTAGGATTCTCGTGTATCACGGACTCGTGGCGTTGCACGTATGGCACCGTCATCTCGGAGTTGCTGGTGCAGAACCGGTCCGTCGGGGCAGTGGTCGGACATCGGAGGTATTCTGCAGGCCGATGGGGGCAACGGCCACGAACGGTAGCCATTGGCGGGCGGGGTGGACCGCGGGGGGGCGAGGGGGGCGGTTGGGTGTCCGTAGTCGACCATTGGCTTGGTTGCACGAAGCGGAGGATGACGATGACGTGCGCAAGACGACATACCGAGGCGCTGCGGGCAGTGCGTGGGCCCCAACGGTCCATTTTCGAATCGAAGGCGTCCACCTTCGTCGTGTTCTCTGGTGCTTGTCAACATATGAAGGTCCTGCCGCCCCTATCTGTCGGCATGCCGGAGGATACTTCTGCAGTAGCCGCGTGGAAGGGTGCATCCGAAGGCGAAATTGATGGCAGACGTGCAGCGGAGATTGCCTCTGCTGGTACTCGCTGTCGTCGTCTTCCTGTTTGTTGTCTTCCTCCACGTGTGTTTGTCGTGCCGGTCGTGGAAGCAACGTCGTAAGCGGAGGGCGTCAACGAAACAGTCGCCCATAGAACGTCCGATGGCGAGCATGCAGGCGCGCACAGAACAGGCAGTAGGTCAGTGCGGAAGAGGACCTGCAACGGTGGTGCCTCGACGACGGTACAACCTGTCGTTGTACAACTATCTACAGTCGTGGGAGACGTCACTGACCTTGTTGGACGAGGACGGGAAGACGGAGGAACTTGCAACGTTGCCTTTGGGTAGCGGATCGACGCAAATGTTTTCGCAGACGGTGCGAGCTCGTGAATCGGCTAGCACCGAAGGCGGCGAGTTCACCTCCCTCCTGCAGCAAGCCTTGGGAGACGACGACGACGGACAAGTTGATCTAAGGTTTGGCATGACTTCTAGCAGTGCGAGGGAAGCGACCCGTACATTCATCATCGACGCCGATCCTTCGCCACGTGGCCTTGGACGTCCTGGAAGTCAGCATACCGAGCAGTCGACACTTCGTGCCGGTGCGTCCGTGACTGCAGGTGTTGGGGCGTCGCCATCAGGCCGGCAGCATGGATCGACTGTGTTGTTCGGCGAACGCATTACAAACAGCTGCCCCGCACGCAGTGGAGTCGCAGCAGGGTCCTTGCACATCAGCGGTGGACGCTCACCGATGTCCAACCCCACAAGGCCGACCCAACCCGACTTGAGAGACGACCCCGCTTGTAGACCACCGGTGCGTCCACGACCTACTCTGGAGAACATCACACGAGAAGTGTCCAACATGCGGGCACACAACGATGGCAGCGACGACGATGCTGGTTGCGGCGACGATGCCGACGAAGGATTTAGGGAGGATGTGTAGGTAGGGGACGACGACGATGACATTCATATTCGGCCTTTGGGGAAGACGACTGGGAGAGGGAAAGGATGCAGCATAGGTGTTGTTTGTGGTCGATCCGTTGGGCCGTTGGCCGTGGCGGCAGAGGAGGCGTAAGCGACGATGATGGGAAGTCTGCGACGTATGGGTCTACGGACGACCAACTGCTTCCCGTGAGATGCAAGCGGGAGCAAGACATGCACCTCGCCGGGCTGGGTCACAATTACGGGCGGATGCGAACGAAGGAGTGGAAGTGGGATGACATTGAGAAGCGGATGGCGAAGTCGGGGAGGGCTAAAGACGCCGACGACTGCATGAAGAAGTGGGACAATCTGTTCCAAAACTACAAGAAGATACATAGGCTTCAGATGGCCAGCAGCAAGGCAGATTTCTTCAGGGTGTCAAATGAAGAAAGGAAGGAGAACAACTTCAAGCTCCGGATGGAGAGGGTGCTGTACAACGAGATCCATGGAAGTATGATGAGGAACCACACCAATTTCCCTCCCAACGTCGCCGACACTGGTAGTCCGAACGGAGTGCAGCTGCCGAGGCGAGGACCGGTGAGTGAGGAGTCTGTCGGTAGTGAGGCCGGTGGTGATGGCTGGAAGAGCCTCAGCCACTGCTCCCATGGAGACAGCTTCCCTATTCCCATTAGGGCTGGAAGAGCCTCAGCCACTGCTCCCATGGACACAGCTTCCCTATTCAATATGGATGTAGCACGGGCAAGGGGCATTGATTGCTTCCCAAATAAGGAAGGATTAACCCCGCACAATGCGGAATCAAGCTCTGCCCTGCTCAACTTGACTAAATCTACTTGGGCCGTCCTGCACCATACACACTGGGGGGGGGAGTGGTAGCAGGGTATAAGAGTCTAACTAAATCGAAGGTCCCATCAAACCCTTGATAATTCGTTCTGTAATTAGGATCTGAAGTTGACAAGGAACGTGTCTCCCTAGTGTAACCCTAATTAGCACAATCCGTTATCCAACGGGCCAAAATCGAACAGGGAGGAGAAATCGACGTCCAAACCAAAGCACTGCTTTCCCTTCAGATTATTGAAACTCAGTTAGGGAGAAAGCAAATGATTTCTGATGAAAGCAGAGACGGCGAAGTCAGATTTCCATCAACCAAGAGTTAACTATCAAATCGAAGCACACAAGTGTAAACAAATGAAATCGAAGAACAGATCAGGAGGGGTCCCGTACACATGACGTCAATGAAAATTGAGACCGACCCAATCCAATCCTGGCAATTCAAATTGTACAAGTGTAGAAAAACGAAATCGAAAAGCAGATCAGATCAGGACGAGTCTCATACACATGAGATCAATACAGATCAGACCGCCCCAATCCAATCCAAACAGTTCAAACTGCAACCCATCAGGGTAAGCAAAGGAGGGGGGGCAATCAGTACTTGACAGATCGACCTCCACTGCGGTTGAGCTCCATGCCGGGGGGTCACATGAGAAGGGTCGATCTGATCTCCCTTAATCTCGGCCTCTACCCCACTCCATCTCGCATCCATTGCCCCGCGCTCACTTCCCTGAAGATTATGATCCCTCATGCGCAGCTGCCAGCTGAACCCCTCCTCCCGCCCTCCATGCTGCGCAGGCACGTAAACAGAGAAGAGAAAAGGCAAGTGTGCCACCGCTTGAGCAGAGCACAGATTGTGGTGCGTGTTGTTACCTACTGAAAGGTGACGTGAGCAGTGCAGAGATGCACGAAAGACAAGGGGGATATTAGAGGAGGGTGGGAGGAGAAGGAGGGGATGTTGGGAGAAAGAACATAATTTAAAACCGCTTCAGGCTCCTTGCCCTCCGGCTGCTGATTAGCAGCATGCGTAGTACGAGCAAGCTCGACCTCCTCTGCTGCTTGCCCCGCTGTCAAACTTTTCATTGTTGCTGATGAGTCTGTTGTCATGATGGATACTGTAGTTGTTGTCGCGGGTGGCATGTTCGATAAAACTGTGATGGCAAACGCTCCACCCAGCATTATTGTTGAAGTTGTTCTGGTTGATGATGTGTCAAGTGAGGTCGCCACTAGTGCTGCGGCCGTTATCGATGTTGCAGACTCCCCAGAAGGCGAGATGAGAGGATTGAAGTCCAATCGAGCCTCAGTCTCCAATCTCTCCATGAGCGCGTCACTATAATCTATCCCCTGTTCGAAAATCATGTTGCAACCGAATATCAGAGCCTCCGCCTGCCGCCAATCAACGAAAGCCTCCAGTTCCGGATCCTCCTTGATCTGCCAGAGGAGCGTTTAAAGTTGCTGACACTTGTCCTCCAGCCATAAAACCAGGGCAGATCCCCCCCAATCTGCCACCGGCCAGGCCTGAGCAACGGAGGACAAGACTCCGACAATCCGTTGCATGCGCCTCTGTGTATCTTCCAGTTCGGCCAGCCACGCATTCGCCTGGTGTTGGAACTCCTCTGCTGAGGCCATCGCCTCCAGAACCGGTACGTATATCTTGCCCTGAAGAGCTGCTGCAATCTCGAGCGATGCTGACTTACCTTATTTGATCTAGTCGCTATTCCGCAGTGTCTTCACCAGTTGTTTGTGCAAGGACGCTTTCTGTATGCCGACCACAGGGTGCTCCTACCCCGCCCGTTTCGCCACCAAAAAACTCCATGTCTATGCCTAGGTCAACTCTCCTTCTTGCTGGCGATGGTGTCAACACACTCCGTCCCGCTCGGCACCACCGAGGACTTGGGTCCCACGACCGCCGGACCCGCCGGCCAGTATGTTTCCCGCGCACTCACGCTTCAGTCACTTGCGTATGTTCTACTCGTATGAGTGCAAGACAGAGTCAACAAACATCCACACCTAGCAAATCCGTGAAAAGGGGGCCCGTGATTTTTTTTTTTTTTTTTTTTTTTTTTTTTTTTTTTTTTTTAACTCTCTTCCTGTGCTAGTGCTGCTGATAAGAGCAGACAGCACTAGCACCGGGGGGGGAGGCTCCGTCTATTGGTGGGGAGCGTCACCTGCTGGAAACCGGGTGATAAATTGAGACCCTGCCCCCGCCTTTCCTAGAACGATGCCACCTGGTGTTTTTCTTTTCTGGGTCAAGTTTTGGGAGAAAAACTTTGGGTGGGATTGCAGGAAAGGAAAATAAATCTCATATTTCAACCACTTCCTACAACATTGTCTCATGTTGAGTTTGTCAGATCGCTGGTTCGAGTCCCCCAGCCCTTTTTTTCTCCCCATATCTTGCCTCCTTTTGTCCTCCTTCTGCCCACCAGTGCAATGTTTGAGTCCTGCTTTTCCCTGGCCTTCAGCTGATGTCACATATCCATCCTTCCCTCTATATGTGTGTGTGTGTGCGTGCCCCATGACCATTGTTTTCGGTGTTTCACTAGTGTCACACTATGCTCCTCCGCGTCAAAATACGGTTGTGTTGGCCCGTGTTGTTTGCTTGATGAGTGTGCTTGTGGACTGGGTTGGTTGGATGGGTGGGTGGATAGATGGTCGGATGTACATACATCTCGAGACCTTCACTCTCACAGATCTTGAGTTCCTTGCAGATAAACCTGTCTTTCGTGGCTCGTCCAGTGGGGTCTCAAATTGGTCCTCGATCCGCGTGGTCAGGGAAGTCTGGAGCCAGCAAGTCAAACCGGTTTGTTCTGATGTTAGCATTGCCTCTATGTGCTCTTGCGGAGGATCTATTATTTCCTATAACTCCTGTTTGTATTCCAAATAAATAGAACGGCATTTCAAAATAGGACCATGCAGATATTGCGCACTAACAAATTACGAACTGCATCACTGCACAAATCAAAACCAAATTGCAGAATGGCACTTAGTCTACTAATGGTTGATAGGTGGTGTCATTTTCGGCCAATTTTTCACTGAAACTGCCATATTTCCCTGAATTTTTGCTTTTTTTTTTTTTTTT